TCATAAATATATCTCGTTTTCCGGCTGGGCAGTATTTTTAAGCAAACACGTCGGTCACTACCTCAAGCCGATAAATAACTTATGAATCCTCTCTTTTCTCTCTCTCAAATCACTTTGGTTGACAGAAAAATATTGGTTTCAGAATGAATTTGTATAAACAATAGTGTCATTACGTTGGTTGACAAGCGGCCTAAAAACCGTCTGCAATTAAATTTAATCGTTCACAAAAAGTACATAGAAAGTTAAAACGTGAAGTGATTGGTTACAGTTCAACTGAACGATAGAACTTTTATTCATTTAATATCTGAATTTTCTCAAACAATTTGTTCGTAGTGAAAGAGCGAGCGAAGTTTTAATTTAAGTTCTACAACAAATATACGCTCTCGTTGAGTCTTTCCAAGACCGTTCAATTTGGACGTTTGTACTGTAAATTGCACGACAGAAACTGAAGGAATTTAATGAGAAAAGGCCGCATTGAATCCCCGTGTGTTTCGTTGGAGTGTGCCATTCGAATTTAGTTTTTGCGGAGGAAAGACCAGATTTACACACGTCGTTGCAGCCGAACAAAAGAACAAAACTCTCACAACTTCGAAATAAAAAAATTGAATTTACTCACAATTACTTTCCTCGCCGTTTACTCAATGAACAGAGGTAAATCTTCGTACATGAATGAATCGTAGATGAGAGTGAATAATACTTCCGTTAGATAATTGACTGTTTTTGAGGATAAGTGAAATTCTCACTAAAAAACCTCACCTTACTTCCACAGTGCATTGCTTGTTATCTGACTGCTTACTACGTTGAAGGGAACCCATATTTCGAGGTTTTCTACGTACATGTACATGAGAAAAGCCCTTTTCTTATGTACTTGCTTGAGCCGCCTGTGGTTTCATACTGTCACAGGGCGCTCTGTGGGATCAAGCTGATCAGAAAGACAATGAACTTTGAAAACCAAATTCCTCACGTGAAACTTATGAGCACGAACATAACATGAAAGCCAGTACGGAAGCCGTTCCCGAAAAAACACTATCCCCTGAGCCATGCTCGCTTTCCATCCTCTCTTTCAATTACCTGAACAAAAACCACCGACCGAGACACAGGGGTGAATAATCAGCAACCACAGTTCGTCGGTCTATTTTATCCCGAAACCTTCTCAAAGTCTCTTGCGTTTAAATAAAACCAGTTCTCTTGTAACAGCAGATGAATGGACTTTCATATTGAACATTGGATGTCGCTGGTAAAGATATAAACGGGTTCCTAAACTATGTATTGTCAATGTATACAATGAATTTGTTGTTGTTGTTGTTGTTTTGTGTTCTTTTTTTAGTACTGTTTCTAAATCATTGTAGGATATATTGCACTTGTGGGTGGATTTGTCATAATTTACCCCGTTTATGACAAATTCACACAGTGATCAAATCGAAAATCGTGGTAAAGATAGCTATGGCAAGTCAGAAGGATATAATCCAAGGATTACATAAAGGATGAATATCACATAATTTACCCCGTTTTTCTAGAATTCACTGATCAAATGGAAAATCGGAGTAAAGATGGCTACGGCAAGTCAGCAGGTTGCATTCCACTTAAAGGACGAATTTCACAGAATTTACCCCTTTACACTTTTGCATTGCTTTTCTCCCTAGTTTGGAAGTGACACGCTGAAGACACGATCACAACGCACTTTGATTGGAAGAAATAAAACCGCATTCTATTGGTTATTAGGTGTGAGGACATAGCTACAACAGAAGACACAACAACAGCGCTACAAACAGCTTAGGATTTTAGTAAATCACGAATAAGTAATCTCAATCTTGGTTTTACGTAGTTTATTTAAGATCAATGCAATATCCGAACTTTCCACATTCAAACAATCTCGATCTTTCTGTTACAAAATAGTGATTCTATATCAGATAAATGGAATCCCAATTTTGTAACAGAAAGATCAAGATCGTTTGAATGTAGAAAGTTCGGATATTGTATGGATCGTAAATAAACGCAAGAAATCAAAAAGATAAAGTCCTTTTGATTGTCGAACCAGCGTTACGCAGTGATTTTCCTTAACGTATTCGGTGGAGAATTCTGAAAAGAAAAAGGGTCAGTTGGACGAGGAAAATCCTGCCATCGCGTGCCAAATTACACTAGCGGAATAATATTTTTACACTAATTGTCGACACATTTTTCACTTAAACAAACAAAAAAGCGCTAGTGCGACCAAGGCCTTAGAGAGAAGCAGCCTGACAAAGAGCTACAAAGCAGCTAATAATTGGTGTACCCCTACAAATTGAAAGATCCAATTAGTAATTTTCCCCTCTGGGTATCATTCATTTTCTTGCACTGATTTATGCTTTATCAAGATAGCATCCCCTATTTACTATTTTTGTGGCTGCCACATACTTTGTCGAGATAAGCGAGTGAGTGAGCGAGTGAGAACGAGTGATAATAAGTAACGATAGAATTCCGATCTTCAACCAATTTCCGGCGCTAATTACTGTTTGTTCCGGAGTGCTGCAGAAGACGATAACATCTCAAAATCATTTTAGGATGGCACGTGAAAAAACGAAGCTTTTCTTTACAGAAATGTCTTTAAAGGTGTGATCGGCATACATGAAAACTTACAGGAAATTTTTTTTCTTTAAAGAGGGAACATGTAACCGTGACCCTATTCTGCGTAATGATAGACCAGTGGAATGGTGGAATGGCAGAATGGCAGAATATCAGTACAACGAGGAATGCCTCTTTGCATGAAACGAAAGTCTCACAGAAATGAAATTGCAATGAAATGATTATCTATTGAGTGTCAAATTGTCACTATATGTTCTTAAATCAACAGGGTGCTCATAAATGTGTGGGATGCGGCAGGTTTTCTGTTTTGCATGTGACACAAATCATCTGCAACACTTCCATCATGGAATAGCAAAGAATAGCATCATTATACAAACTCTGGTTCTTTTCAATGTCGTAGAGATTGTGCTATATCAGTAGCCATATGCAATCTTAAAATCATGCTTTTTTTGTCTATTCTCACCATCTTTTTGTGAGACAGTGGATCGAAATCGCGCGACCGCAAGTTACACATCGATAACTTGTCGTATGTGAAGGGTCTAGACAAATAGAATTTTGTCTCACGAGCACTTGTTCAACCACTCAACATTGGGATAGAGAATAACTGGGTTATCATCCAAACAAAGGCTTTGAGCTTATAGGAAAGCAAATATAAACGACAACGTTGCAATTGGTCTCACCTCGTTTATCCAAAGATCCGGTCGGATTTGGTACTCTAGACGGTGACTGGGTAACAGGAATTCCTTTTGATGATGAGAGGATTACAAGGAACGGGATGAAAACGAACCAAACCTGAGCTCGCATACTAGTTGAGGAAAACTTGACTGAAGCTCCGCAGGTACTGAATGAATCATTCAACTGACAGATTGTAAGGAGTCTGTCACCAAATGAGGCCAAGCGGAATTCTTTCTTTGGGAAAAGAGCCAAACAAAACGATGTACTCAAAAAAGAACTTCATTTATTTGACTTCGTATATCTAATTACCAGGTCGGATTTCTCATTTACCTGAAGAGCAGATAGCTAGCAGATAGCACGAACTTCATTTGACATCGGGTGGATTCCTTTGTGCGAAATTAAATAATTAATCAAGCCTGGCACTCATACTTGCTACATGTTGCAATTTCATCTCCAATATGAAGGAAAAAAGAAAAGGAAGTAAGGAATCATGTCTGCAACCCTACCTTAACTTATTAGTTCATAAAGCTAAGAGGGGTCCTTAACACGCCATGGGCCAACAGAGTAGAATGAAATATATCCATTCCGGTTCTGTTTAATGACGGATAGTTTTTCACAAATGTCAAGTATCTTTTATCTGACGATTCTTCGGTTTTGTTTTTATATTTTTTTGAAAAATACCTCTGTTATCAGTCATCAGGGGCTAATCCATTCTTGATGTTACGTGATTTTCGGACACTGGTGAGACAGAGAGACATGGGCTAAAAATAGTAAAAAAGGACTCTCAGTTTAACAAATCGACCAAAAATTTCCTTTGCTTAGTGCCTTATTTATCAGAGAAATGACGTCAACAATATTCAAACTAAACTTGAGACAAAAGGAATAAGTAAACAGTCCAACCTCCCTTTTCGACTACCTCTCGTAAGCAACCATCCGCAAAGAGTTTTTCACAATACCAAAAGTTTCCAAGTCAAATTACTATAAATGGAACCTCTCGTAAGCGACCACTTGACAGGAAATCGGCTTCTCACGAGCGGAAACTAAACAGAAAAAACCTCTCACGATCGGAAACTGAACAGATGTCGTAAAAGAAAAGCCATCGGAAGTATTTCCTGAAATAGTTTTACCGCGTAAGTAGAATTCGAAGAATTGATAAACAAAAAAGCGGATTTGATCACTCGTAGGAAAAAACTCTCTTATCTTAATAATGCTAGACATATACATGCATTGAACAGAAAATTTGTGTCGGAGCAGTATCAAAGAATGTCAATTGGAGTATGCAATAAATGCCACAGTTTGTGTGATTTACGCTTGAACTAACATTGCAAACATGCTGTTCAATATTAGCTCCCAACCAAGTTAGACCTGAAAGTACATGAAATATTTTTAGCGGAAAAAATTCAAGTGCAGGTATCGATGAGCGCTGGCGAAAAGGTTCGGTCACCATATGCAAATTTCCCAAAATATGAAAATCCAGACTTAACTTTTCGGGTGGTGGCTTACAGGAGGTTCGACTGTATGTTACAACAAATATTCTCATAACAAAACTTTTCAAAATAGTAATCGATGCAAACCTTCATCCTTTGTACGCTCTTTCTCTTATTGTAATTCAGGTGGAGAATATGAAGCTTTGAATCAGTATTCATGGATAACTATTAATTATCCCAACCAAGATTTTAGCCAAGAAAAGCTAGATCCGCCATCCTTTGTCCACAGTTCCTATCAACTTTTACTTTTTTATCTGGAGTACGAACATATTCAATATGGCGGCCCACGGTCAAGACTATCTGGCGTGTATTTTATCATACCTGGATAACTCTGGCTTAAAAAATGGATTAGCACTTTTAGGTAAGTCTTTCGTCGAAATTGACTCCTACCATTTTTCAGGATATAGGTTTAATTCGCAAATGCGACAGTAAGAGCTGTAGGTTTATACCAGGGTGATAATTTGCATCTTGATATCTTCATATTTGGATGCAGCTCAGAAACTAATACGTAGGAGTTTCGCGGTAAAGAAATCGTGAATCTGGACAGAACAAGCAGTTTTTTGCATGACTGAATGAGTTGAAAAGTCCATTTTTGAGACTGTACTGTACGGGAAATAAAATATATTAGCTGATTGAACTCAGATTTTCTTTTTTGTTTAATTGTCCTCGCCTTCTGTAGGTCTTTTGTGGACAGCCAAAGTATCTTTAACTCTAGCTTTCAACATCGTGAAAGGCATGAGAATATATTTGTTAGCTCAAGTCACGCGAAGGAATAATTTTCGTACCAAATATGGCGGCAGATGGGCAGGTGAGGCATCATATATATATTTGTTTAAAATTCAGACATCTTTTGGTTAGAGTTTCATGGCAATCAGAAGAAAGGAATATATCCCAACGATCAGAACTAGTGAGAACTCAAAGTAATGATAAGCAGACTGTTTAGCCCTTTACACCCCAACATCAATATTCATATTCTCCCAACTGTTCTCTGTACATTTACTAAAGTGCTGACAAGGAGAATTTGTCTTATAATCAAGAGTTTCTTTAGTTTATTCTCATGTCATAAATGTATGATTCAGTGGTGATGTTGTGAGGAGAAATGAGATGCTGGTCACTGTTAGGGGTTAAAAGATCAAGTCAGATAATGGTCAGTGACTGACCCTATGCCTTGTACTCCATGAACCTTACCAGAATTTGCACCAATATGTATAAAAATATTGCAATCATTGCACAAATAAATGAGTTAAAATCATCCTCTTGTGCTAGATCATCTCACTATTTTCATATGTACAAAAACAGCTTAATTAACCTTAGTGTTGGTGGCTAGCTGTGGATATTTACCATATTGCTTTGCAGATCAGTTAAGTGTTTGCCACTAGCTGCTGACACTGAGGTGTTGTTATTTAATTGATTAAAAAGAGTGGACCAGAATTTACTAAAAGGCCTATTTGCAGGCATAGGAAAACACTTTGATGAAGTTTGTAGTAATCCTCAGTTTGCAGGGAAAGACTGGCATAGAAAAGTCAAAAAGCAAATAGGAGAGAGGAGGGGGGTTGACCAATGTTATTGACAGTCAATTTTTTTTTCATATTTTGGTGTAATTATATTTTTTGTAGATTGCAATACTGATATGCAATTACTATGATTTTATTTCTTAAACCAACGATTCTTTATTTGGCAGTTGTTACAGGTGCATCTGAAGGAATAGGAAGATCATTTGCATGTGAGGTAATAATGTCATTATTTGTGAGCATTTGAAATAATTATAATGGTGTTCATATGAATTAAAATCAGAGTCCCTTACTTTTATGGATGTGAAGTTATTATGCAAGACTCTTAACTCTTGCTGAGCTTCTCTCTACCCAGGATTGTGTAGGAGTACTGGATCGGTCTTACTCAACTTGGCTGTAGAAGGGGGTTTTTTACAATACAAAGCCATGACCTCAAACAGTTCAGGGGAAGAATAGGGAGGGGGGGAGGGGGACTAGGAGAAATACTTCCATACCTCCAGTAACTGGTCAATAAAACAAGATGAACTCTGGCATTGTGGGTTACTTGGCTTGTGAGTAAGACTAAACTTGAATCCTCTACACTAATTATCTCAAAGTGAGCTGAACTGTCACAAATGTATGAAATTTCTTTACAAGACAGTTGGCACAATGTGGAATGAATGTTGTTCTGATGAGTCGCTCAACCCAAAAATTGGAAAAGGTTGCAGAGACCATAGGTTAGTGAAAAAAAAATAGGTGTTTAAATTTTTTAGTGCTATAGCTTATAGAAGACAATATTAAGAAGTTTTTATGGATTAAATGTTTTGGTTGACACATTGAACATTGGTAAAATTTTGTTTTCTAATTTCTCTTATGGTTTTCCATACCCAGTTACCCTAATTTCTGAAAATTCAAGAGTGTTTAAACATGCCATTAATCAGAGGTTATTCAAGTGGGGAGAAGGGGTGGAGGAGAAATTAGTGTTAACAATTATCTTAGATTAATGACAACTGAGAATATGTTTTCAGAGCAATTGTGTGAATGTCCAGGGAGTATTTTCTAGAGGTAGTTCCTCTTCGATCATTTTTAACTTTATAATATTACAAACTTATGTCGCAATTCTTGTATTATAGAAAAAGAGTGCAAGGTTGAAACATGTATCATCCCAATAGACTTTGCCACACAGGATGTTTACCAGAAAATAACCACTTCACTAGAGGGACTCGACATAGGCATTTTAGGTGAGAAATTATATTTATAAAGGTAGTACCCAGCATTATTGAATTTAAGAGATCAAGGATCAATACAAGGCAGGCATTCAATCAGTACTTACTTTTCTGAAGACGTGTAATTTCATTGGTTAATAATGATAATTATTACAAGTAAGAAACAGTGAACTGCATGACCCACATGCTATATTTTCTGTAGATCCTACTTATGCAGATATATAGTTGATATATGCTTACCACCTCTAAGCTTGTCGTATGGTGTAGTCCTGGGGATGGGTCATAATTCTAGGCATCTGCATAAAAAGTTCCTTTTTTTCATTGTTTTAAAAAGCCTCAGCATGTTAGAATTATGCTATTTCTCTCACCGCCTTTCTCTTTTTTTTCTCATTTTTCTTCTTTTTTTTTTTCAATTTTTAGTGAACAACGTTGGTGTAATGTATGACTATCCACAATACTTTTTGGATGTTCCCAAACAGGTAACATTAAATGCTCCTAGCTTTGTTTAGAAATGTCAGCCTTGGCATTTTGATATTTTAAGTAATACACTGAAGTTCATCATGGTTAAACCATATGCATCATTTTTACCCATTTTTGTCTCTCTTCTATTGTTTGATTCAGTTAATGCCTGATGGGATAACATCCTATCCAGGCAGAAGCCGTTTGCCTAAATTAATTACCAGAGGCCCATTTCTTGAAAGTCCTGGGAACTTTATGGACCCAAAGCTATATTTAAAAGGAAATTAAAATTTAAAAATTAGAGAAGCAGTGTCTGGCACTGCAGTTACTGGTTCATTTTGTTTCTTTAGCTGATAGTTTTATTGTATAATTTTCAAAGCTTTTAAAATCCCTATTTTAAATGAAAACAAAACAGCTTTACAGGCCCTTTAAGTTATTGAGACCTTTGAGAAACATTCCCCTGGTTGTTGTATTTTTCACCAGGAAAAGACTCTTTGTTCTTGTATGCCTCTCCCCACCTTGGAGTGTTTTTGGGTGCCAATGATCTGTCAGTGAAACCTGGTGAAATGCATGGGAAGGGAGGCAAGGGTGTTTTTGACTTGCGATAAACTAGCTTGTGCAACATTAATCAACTGCATACTACAGACATGAGTAACCAGGGTGGAAGTAGGCCATAGGTATGGTGAACTCAAATAAAATAACATATACTCCCATGGCATGTCAGTTTTTCAAAACTGAATAAGACTGCAAACATTTTTGTCTTCTCTTTAAAATGCAGAAACTTTTTGACTTGATAAATATTAACATGACTTCGCTTATAATGGTAAGTGTTAATTTTAGGTCATGTGACAGATTGTGAGTTTATCAATTATAGTAATGCCTAAAACTATCTGCTATCCTAGGTGTATCCTTAATAAAAACAATATTACATGTAACTCTGATTAAATTAACTCCAAAGTATCTTGAGATACTTTGGATGTAAATGAATATTTATAATATTTGACATTGATTAAAATTGTTTTATTTAATATTTGACAAGTAATAATGATAAAAAAATTTCTGCAAATAAGTGGTTTGATTGTGCTCCAGGTTCTTAGGAATACCAATGAAGAAGCTGGAAATTTTCCTTTTTTTGGAACAATGTATGATAATGACTTTATTTCTTGGTATGCTTTACACCTGTCCAGCTTTAGTACAAAAGTATTAACTGTCAACTTCTCATAATATCCTCATACTATGTCATGCTCTTGGTAACCTTTAGAGTTTCCTTTTTAGATGACACGTGTTGTTTTACCCCAGATGTGTAAAAGGTAGGTTCATCCTTGTCTTTTGTTCAAAGAAAGCACATGCATGAATGACCAATGGAAAACTGTGGCTAGGTTAAGTTTTAACAAAGCGGTTTAAACCAAGCAAAACAGAATCCTTCATTTACCATGACATCCAAATAAGCCTTTCTCTCTGATAAGCCTAGTCCCTCTCTTATAGGGCCTCTCTAATAAGCCCCTCTCCTTCATTGGCCCCCGTCTTAAAAGCCCTCTCTCTTATCAACCCTCCTCTTCAATAAATCCCCCATCTATTATTTCTCTCTCCTGTAAGCCTCTCTCTCTGAGAAGCCCCTTTCTCTGATGAGCACCTTCTGTAATAAGCACCTTCTCTGCTATTTAGTCTCCTTTCTACTGAGCCCCCTCTGTAATTAGCACAGTGCCTCTTTAATGAGACCCCCCTCTGATTAGCCTGGTGCCTCTCTAATGAGCCCCCTCTCTGATTAGTGTGGCACCTCTCTAATAAGCCCCCTCTCTGAGTAAGTACCAGCTCTGATTAGCCTGGTCCCTCTCTAATAAGTACCAGCTCTGATTAGCCTGGTCTCTCTCTAATAAGCCCCCTCTCTAATAAGCCCCCTCTCTAATAAACCCCTTCTCTAATAAGCCCTTTATCTTATAGGCCCCCTCTCTGATGGGCCCCCTCTCTAATAAGCCCCTTTGCAAAAAGCTCTCACTAATTACTCACCTCTCTAATAAGCTCCACCTCTGATTAGCCTGATTCCTCCCTGATAAGCCCCTTCTCTAATAAGCCCCCTCTCTAATATGCTTGGTCCCTGGTAAGCCCCCTTTCTAATTGGCATGGTCCCTCTCTAATAAGTAGCAGCTCTGATTAGCCTGGTCCCTCTCTGATAATTCCCTTCTCTAATAGGCCCCCTCTCTAATAAGCTCCCTCTGCAATAAGCACTCTCTTTAGTTAGTTCCCTCTCTAATAAGCTCCTTCTCTAATTACTCCCCTCTCTATTTAGCCCCCTCTCTGATTAGCCTGGTTCCTCCCTGATAAGCCCCTTCTCTAATAAGTCCCCTCTCTAATATGCCCCCTCTCTGGTAGGCCCCCTCTCTGATTAGCCCGGTCCCTCTCTGATTAGCCCAGTCCCTCTCTGATTAGCCCGGTCCCTCTCTGATTAGCCCGGTCCCTCTCTAATTAGCCCCTCTCTAATAAGTCTCCTCTCTAATAAGCCCCCTCTCTAATAAGTCTCCTCTCTAATAAGCCCCTTCTCTAATAAGTCTCCTCTCTAATAAGCCCCCTCTTTAACAAACCCCCTTCCTAATGATTCCCTCTCTAATTAGTCCCCTCTCCAATAAGCCTCCTTTGATAAGCCCCCACTCTAATAAGCCCCTTTACGATTAGCCTGACATCTTTCTAATAGTCCCCCTCTTATAAGCCCCTCTCTACAATAACGTTCTCTCTAATAAGCATGCCTCTTTGTTGAGCCCTCATCTTCAGAGCCCTCTCTCTAAGAAACCATCTTCTCCAACAAATCTCCCCCCCCCTTTCTTATTATCTCTCTCTAATAAGCCCCCCTCCCTTCACTAAGCCTCTCCATGCCAATCACCCAAGAGAGGATCACTACCTCTGATATGGCGTAACAGTATTTATCTTCCCCTCTAAGCCCTGTGACCGCTAAAAGTGACTAGCATCTAATTTCTCCTTATAATATCATTCCTGGATCACTCATGTAGCTTACGAGAATAAAGGAAATGATCACTAAGTTAAGAAGCTCTTGATTGTTAAACAAATTCTCCTTGTCAGCGCCTGAGGAAATGTATAAAGACCAGTGTGGAGAGTATGCATACTGATGTTAGGGTGTAAAGGGTTAAGTTAGAACTTTTCCAATTCTTCGTAGCTTACCATGTTGTGACAACTTTCAGGAAACGGGGCGCAATTATTAACATGTCGTCTAGTGCAGGAGAGTTGCCTACACCCCAGATGACAGTCTATGCTGCAACTAAGGTAAAAAAAATCATGTACATTTATAATTTTTGTGTTTTTTTTCATTGTTGTGTCGTTTTTTTTTCTACTCTGGTGATCCAGATATCTGTTTTAATTGCTCGTTTCTTTGTTGTTCTTCCATCTTTTTTGTATGTTTGTTTGCTTTGTACTAGAAAAGAGACCTTTGATAAGGCAACTGAAGTGTCTTGTTAGTTCTGCGGATGAAAGCCTGGTTTATCTATTAAAGTAACGTGTGCAGTAGCACAACTAGTTTGAAAAAATCTCCGTTTTCTTGACGGCAACCTCAATTCTTTATGCCTATTTTCAGTCTAAGCGTAGTCTCTCTTTCGAAGAGTCGCAGGTGAACGCTTTTCCACTTTTCCACTTGGTGGCCACGCCTCATTAACCTAAACTATTAAAGATATGTTACCCAATTACTCGCACATTTCACGTACTCAATTCATTCTCTTTTGCTGTTGTTCCAAACAGGAATTTGTGGACAGTTTTTCACGTGCTCTTGCTTTTGAGTATGCCCCGCAAGGGATTGAAGTTCAGGTATGATTTTACATTTAAGCAACTGAATATTTCTGTGTCTACATATCCCCATCTCCTTAGTAGCGAGGTTGAGAAAGTTCCCGCAAGAAGTCTTCAACCGTTTTTTTACAATCTTCTTAAAAAAATATGGGCGAATCTTTGGAGTCACGGCTGATTTTACATTGTGTCATCTATACACACCTATGGACCAATGACAGCGACCATAACAGCACAGCATTTCAAAAAGAAAAAAGTTGACGATTTTGTTTTCAACATTGATTTGAAAATTCATTTGCTCTAAGTGACAAACTTGTAGTTCTTCTTTAAATATATTGGTTTCTAATTAATACTTGATATTTTGCCTTTTTGGCTTCTTTTGATCTCAATGATGGTTTATATGCATGTAACTTTTCACAGTATCTCTTCATGTTTTAGCAAAGAATGATCGAATTTCTCAGCCACAGTCTGATTTCCCTGTATCACCAAATCCTCTTGATAAATTTAGAACGAAATGCATTGTTCCAGAGATGATAACACTCAAGTTTCAAATTTATTGCACAAGGAAAAAAAATTACCAGTAGTATTACACAAAGGAATGTAGTGATACACTGAATTGTTTGAAAAGTAAACGGTACAAAAACTAGTAACAAGAAAATGAATTATTGAAATTGAACTGGTGAAACAAACGCTAAATGGTGTTTCCTCTGTTCCAGTCTCTGAGACCGTTTTACGTGGCCACAGCCATGACATACGGTACAAAAGCTAATATCGTTGTTCCATCACCTGAAACGTACGTGAAGAGTGCACTTTACACACTGGGATTGTCAAGACGAAACACAGGCTATTGGAGTCATGGTATTCAGGTATTTCACTATTTTATTTACAGTTTTTCATGCTACTATAGCTTTTCACGCATTCTTTATCTAACGCCTCACTCAATTTTTTCTTTTTTTTTTTTTTTTTGCTCCTAGCGGTGGTCTTGGTTTTCGGTATTTTTCTTTCTAAGGAACTTCAACTTATGCATGCCTGGCTAATTTTGGAATTCATTGAAGAAACAAAATTATTTTAGTTACTGAATGGGGATTCACACTTTATTTTGCTTCTGAAACTGAGAGATTTACTTCTGGTTAGAAAAAACAAACAAAGAAAAACAAAATAACAAAACCAAGCAGAGGTGCTGTTAGGCACAATATAAAACTGGGAAAACTTTCTATTTTATTGATTTTCTAATTTTTTGTGTTAATTTAGTTCTTTAAGGCGGGCCATAAGTGTTCCCTTTACACTCTGATGATGACCTTCTAATGATCGCAAGAGTTTATTTGTAATATTTTTAAGCACATTTGTTTGTTTGGTTTTTTTTTGTTGTTATCTGCACCCACAACTCTCCGCAACCTCTAGAGAACTCTACAACTCTTGTATTACACAAAAACCAACTTGTATTACCAAACCAACATGCCCAAGCCATCCCTGGCCTTGGAAAGCCCAACGGTGTATTGTTGATGATTTTTCTTATCTATTCATTCGCATAATTGAAATTGCCTTTCATATCTCTTTTGTTTGTTTTTGTTTTTTTATCTTTAGGGTTGGTTTGTTAGTTTTTGTCCCGAATGGCTCTGGATGTGCACCGCTACTTTGCTCAACAATCAAATCCGTCGAGTTGTTCTTAGAAATAGAAAGCAGTGACGATTTTCATATTGGAAGCTTCCTTTAATATTAATCCCATTTCTTTGTTACAAATAATCGAAACCGATTAAATCGGCTCCCTACAATTATAATAGGTATCGTAAGCCAACCATGAATTATCATGTGCTCTTGTTTCATTCATTTGCTGCACATATCTAATTTTACTCTGATCCCTTTTCCTTTGAAAATTAAAGGTAACTATCCGTTTTTATAAAAATTAGTATTGTATACTTTGCCAATTTTTATGGCAAGAAAATCTAAGACACCTGATGCAACTGAAAGAAAATTCTGGGCTGGTCGAATGAACTCATGTCTATTGACATCTGTGTACTGTGTAATGCACTACGTTCATTATTTCTGAGATGAAGAAAATAAATATAGGTATTACTCTAGGTAATAATATATACTACACTGGTGAATAAGGCTGATTGGTTTGTTTGGAAGTGAGTAACAAGTATTCTTTACCTCCAAGCAGCGAAAGAGTCAAAATTGTGCGTCAAGAGTTTGATTTCCGACCACTTTTCGGTATTTTGACAGAATTAAACTAACTTTTTGTATTTCTGCAAGGTACGCACTAAAACAATTATTCACCTCAATGTAGGCGAAAGTGGTGAATGTTTACATCCAATTCGGTGAAAAGTTGTTCGTGCAACCAAATGTTTATTGGCTATTTTGCTATCTGTACTCAACTTAAAGGCACGCTTCTCGTTTCAAACCTTATCCAGTGTGTTGTTATGTGATTTTCATCAAGTACGTACTAGTTACGTTTACGAATAAACAGCGTCGAATTATCTTTAAATTTGATGCGCTTTATGTGGAACAACTATCTCCTTCTTCATTTATTTACATTTCAAAGCCCTTTTCCTTTTTTTTTTTTTCCGGCCTTTGCCAGTCTTTTGCAAAGCTACTGTGCCGTTTTCTGCCGTATCTGCTATATTTTTTCCCACCTATTATATATCAGTGCGCCCATACGGACGTTGTCTGGGGAATTTGAGGCTCTCCATTCTCCTAAGCGCATTCTTACTCCATTGCAACAAAAATTTCCTCAGTTCACGGCCAGTAAACTCGTCAAGTTTTGCACGAAGTTCTACCCGGAAGAGTCCAAAAATATGCCATGCGTTCTTTTGCGGTATCGTTAAGGGCGATTTCCGAGTTCTAATACCTCTCAGTTCCAAACGAGGCCCATTGCAAAACCTTTCTTACGGGAAAGAGTTTTATTTGCATGGTGTTTACATGATCATTTCCCGATCAAAGGCCCCAGACACAGCCTCGGTTTAAAACAGAGGCTTTGCACATCTCGGAAACGGTCTATTTTGGTGTGCACTGGTACCTCGACGATGATTATTTACTTGAGTTTAACAGCCGAAACTATCACGAGAAAAGAAGCAATTGTTACCGACGGGCAGGCATGCGCAGTGCGCAGAGGAGAACAATGTCTTATTTTCCCCAAAATACTTACGTACATAAAATACCACACCCCTTTACTTCAGTATAGTCACCGCTGCTTTTCTAGTCTACTAGTCTAGTCTAGTCGACTTTCTTTCTTGCCATTGGTTGGTCTTCATTAGTAAGTTGATCCATTTAATTTACTTCTAATCGATCGTAGTTTCCATCATCCAAAGACTCCTCGATCTCGTCATAGCCATGGATTGGGGGCATATCCTGTATAAGAAAAAAAAAAAAAAAAACAGAAATTCTTCTAATTTAGCAACTACTGATGTCTGATGAAGACAACGTACTGAATTTTTACGGTGGCCTGTTGTCGACCATTTCAACGCTCTCAATCTCTAACAATGACTAACATCTTATTTCTCTTTACAATATCACCCCTGAATCAAACATTTGGGTCATGAGAATAAAGGGAATGATCACCAACAGAAAAGGTTTTGAGTGTTGAACAGATTCCTTGTCAGCACCATAGGAAATATATAGAGAACAGAAAGAAGGATATGCATACTGATGTGAAGATTTAAGGGTTAGAAAACAGTTAACGATAAACAGTAGAAGTCACACTCTTTTTGTAATGTTATGAAACGCTGTGAAGATTGGCCACGTCCCATCAGCGTGAGCGCGCGTAAACTTGACCCTGTAGTAATTCGAGTTCAATACCATTTGGAAACCGATCACAAACAAAAAGAAAATTCAAAAACAAAAAAAAAACAAAAAAAAAAAACAAGATACCACGAAAATAGAAAGGATTTTGACGAGGGTGGAATGGAGATGTCTCCATGTTTTAGCTGTAGTCAGGTATGTATCGTCAGATAGTGATAGTGTTAATTATAGTCACCCTTTATACCGTAACATCAGTATGCATACTCTCCATAATTTTCTTTAGACATTCCCTAAGGTGCTGACAAGGAGAATTTGTTTAAACATCAAGAGCTTCTTTAGTTGGTGATAATTTCTTTTAATCTCGTGACCTTAGTGTGTAATTCGGGGATGATATTGTAAGGAGAAATTAGATGTAGGTCACTCTAAAGGGTCAAGAGTTAAGAGGTGTAGTGTACTTTGGGTTCGGTCGTGAAAAAAAAATTGAGAAACCTTTTATCATTTATCGTAAATGTATGACGCTACAACCAAGCTTAACATTTACGATTTGAAATCTATTCACACACATGATATGGGTTATTTATGGTTTTCTTTCCCTCTTACCAGAACAGCTCCCAAAGGAGGTCTTCTGTTTCCTCTTGGACGATTTCTGTAGGAAAGAGTTCAAGTGAAATAAATTTGAAAATTTGAAATTGCAATTTCCTCTCTCACTGAATTAAAACATGACTCAACGAGATACCACCTATGCCTCCACCTGATTACAAACACAGTATCCCTTCCATAACTTTCTGCCCACCGATAGTGAACAACGACCCCCCTTCCCTACCCTCATCCGTAAAGAATAATCGACCTCACCTATAGCACATGAAGACGACAAACACCAGAAAAATTCCTCCAACTGCTCCTGCCACGGCGATCAATATTGTTTTGGCGAGGTTTTTTTTAGAAACCTTGTATGGCGGCACAGAACTTACTGAAAAAGGAAGAACACAGGTAGAATTAATCATAGAAAAAAAAAGAAAGAAAATGGAAAAGGAGACTGGGCATAGAATTGGGTGAACACCATGGGTAACGGTTTAAAAAAGTGTACAAAGAAGTTTTTCTCTAAGGAATTTTTGCTTTGTTTCCTCTGTTGTCAGGGTTCTACTCCTTGAACAGAAAATCGCCAAAACTAGCTCACTGTCGCTACGAACCGGAAAACTGTGCCCCAACGGAAAAAAAAAAACAATCAAAAACAAAATAACAACAAAATCTCTGACTACTGTATGATCTTCATGCTGGAGGAAAAGGTAACAAGCTCCGTTGGTGCGAGCCACTGGGCTTACGACCTTCTGTTTACTTTCTGCGGTTATTTTAGTCAACCCATACCTTCTGTGTCGCCCCCAGTGCGGCAAATTCCGCTAACAACACTGCATAGCTGACCCGGTTCATTACACAGCTTCATCTGCACATTGCATCTGTCAGACGGCTTAAGAGCAGGAATGACCACACTGTGAATGCTACCATTATTGGTGGTTATATTTCCTGAGATTAACTGGTTTCCTCTCTGACAACGGTAAAGTACGACAGCATTCCTCAATGGGCCATTGAAATACTCCGCTTTTGGAACCTAGAATCAAGAGACGATTCACCTGAGCATAACCAACTCAAAGCTGCAGCCGTTGAATGCCGCCACGACGAACACAAACGAAATTCTCGACCAATCAGGGCACACGTATCTCTGTATTACCCTGAGCAATTTAACTGATCGCTAGCTTGCTAGCAGGCACGTATCATCAGCATTTCGGCACAAGCGTTTCTCCGCCGGCGGGAAAGTATGAAGCGTTGAACAACGCGAGCCAGCGGGAGGTCTGCAAGGGGTCTAACACTGATAGTGCCAGACCCCCGGAAAACATCTCCCCGACTCGTCTCGAATCCGGCTACCCGTAGAGAGCCGCCTGCTTGCGAGCTACCTGGTTGTTTATAACTGTATATCACAACAAAAAGAATGCATTCCCAACAAAATAGACTTTTTTCCCAGCAATCAATCAAGAACTCGAGCTAAAAGAAATTAAAAAAAACAGAGGGAACTTACAACCCAGGTGACTGTCAGGGCAGGCTTAGAATTTAGATTACTCCAAGAACTGCAGTTCGATATTACCGGGGGCTTTGGTGCTGAAATGGGAAAAAAGAAAATTGTCAGAGTTCGATGTTCCACACAAAGTGATGTTAATTTGCTGGACCTCTTGATATTTCGAAATAGCTTTCCGTTGGTAACCCTTTACACCCTGCTAGGTTTACAACCAGCATCAGTATGCATATTCGCCGAACTTTTTCTCTAGACACTTCCTAAGGGGCTGATAAGAAGAATTTTTTTAACAATCAAGAGCTTCTCTGGTTGTTGATCACTTCCCTTTTTCATGTAACCTTAAAATATGATTCAGACATGATATTGCAAGGAGATATTGGATGCTTTGAAGGAAATTAGGAGCCAAAGGGTAAAGGTATGCGAACGTTCCGATTGGTGGAAAAATCATACCACATTTTGCTGTTAGTAATTACCACTAAAGAGATAATTTAAAGTTTAACGCTAAAATTCTACTAGAACCACTCACATCTAAAATAACCGCCACATGATTTTGTGATGTTTCTAAACAAAAAAATGACGAGCGAAAATGAAATAAACTTAATCGTTCTAACCGCTGCCAATATTAAGAAGGAGTGCAGTTTTTATTTTAAATTCGTTCCATATAATCATGTACCCGTCGGCGACAGAAACATAACGGTACCATTCAAAAATCACACTTAGCATAGTTTCTATTGGAGCGGTTTTTCTTTTTATTCAATATTAGGAACCACTATTAGCACTGATATCTTTTTCATGTTCTTGAAAGTGTTCCATTTAATTTGGATAAGTTTTGAGCTTAATTCATACAGCTTAAAAACCAAGCTAAATCATGATTCTATTAGCCCACGAAGTTACAACTTCTAATAATTAACCAGTATAACCAATAAAATGTAAACCCTCAATTAGAAAACGACTTCACCCTCATTACCTGAAATCTTGGTCCTGAATTTTCGTTCAACCGCTTCACTGTCGATACCGTATGAAGTTGTGTTGTCATCAAATGATTTCATACCATACCGTACCATCAAGTAGAAATGATACCAGGATAAACCAACCAAATCAGTTATCAAAGTATTCGTTCGGGAATCTATTGTTTTACTCTATAACAGCAAAAAAATAGAGATAGTAATAAATAGCAAACAAAATTCTTACGAGGAATGAGGAAAGTTAACTTTCTTGGTTGTTCCTCTGCTGTCTCTCTGAGATCTTCTTTTCTATTCATGTAATTTATGGGCTAATATGTAATTAAACTACACGGACCTTGATTGAAGCAATTTCCAATCAAGTGTTGAAAGGATTCTGGGATTGTGCTAGTTACAGTAGCAGTTGTACTGTAAGAATTTTCATAGTGCATACATACATGTAGCCTAACCTTCCTCCCCCCCCCCTTGGAGATACAGAAAGGAGCCTCCGTTTGTCCTGGGGAAGGGGAGGGTATGACTACATGAAGGCAAAACTTTTCACCTTGTTATAACTGTCTCCTTCTCTGTGGTACATGATGGTGTACTTAACAAGAAGTTCTGGATTTTTAAACATTCTGGAATCTTTCCATCTCAATTTCACTGTAACAGGGGGAGGCACTTCCCTGGCATCCAAGAATGCTGTAGGCAAAGGAGTGGCTGAATATATAACAGAACAATGGTAAAATATTATTGTAA